AGAGATGGTGCTGAACATACATCAAAGGAAATCTCGAAACAGCTGAAGCTTTGCAAAGCGCTTTTGACCGGGGAGCCCCCTTTAGAAGACGGAAGGAATGCTGTAATCGATAGCATGCTAGCCAATAGACGATTCAGCTTGGGTGCCTAGAAAAGTTACCAGTTTCATAGTTATGATGACGTAAACATTTCAATTATCATCGATTGGCCATGCATTTACAGAGAACTGTACTCCTTCTCACTGTAATCCTTTATCCAGCTCAAAATAGAAACTTCTCATCTGCTTTTATGCTTTTTTTTGTTTAAATATCGCCGGCCCTACTTTTTTGCCGTGCAGCGCTAGAGCGCTGCAACAGGCAGTAAAAACATATATTGCAACGACTCTGTCTATGTGTGTGTGTGTGTGTGTGTGTTCGTCTGTCTGGGTATTTCTACTCGCTAACCACCCAAATTTTGATGCTAAAATTTTGCTAGCACATTCCCTGGCCAAGTACGACCCCAGGAACTTGATACCAAATGTTACGCACGCCTACGTTTCAACTACAAACACGTGAAAGTTTGGCTGGAAAATCGCTAACTCGGGAACGAGAAAAGCTAGAAAGCTGAAACTTTAGGGGAATGTTCCCTACTCATATGCGAACGCATGATCGCATCGGCCTGCTTGATGCATTCCAGCCTGCGTTAAATAACTCTCTTGCTCATTTCTGTAGCTGAATTTTTTACAGTTCAAATTTTTTGCAGATTTTGGAAGGTGTAACAATGTTGTATGAAATGGAAACTTCACCTGTCGGTGCGAAATGCTTGGAAGAACGTGTACACGAGTTGTTAAGGAAGTAAGCAGTTGAAATTCATTTTTTCACTTTTTTAAATTATCAGCACTTCTTCCTTTGATATTTCGATCTGCCGTCATCTTCACTTGGATTAGCGATGCTGGTTTCTTTTTTGTTCGCGCTTTATCCAACTTGCGCCGATTTGCGCTCATTCCACCGGCATTCTTGTTATTCGTTTCGCTGCTGCAAAGGATTTTGGATTTACTGCGTTATTTTCGCGCACCCTTTTTACAACGGAGAAAGAAAATATGCTGAAATCGGTAGAGGAGAGAAATGTACTAGGGCTTTGTGGGAAATGCCTTTATGGAGAATTTTCTTGAGGCTTCTAAGTTAAGTGATTTTTTTGAGATTCTTCTCTGATGACATTTGCTATTACCCAGCAGCTTTGCATTTATTGAGCTTGTCAAGGAACCGATGTAGCCCCTGCGTCAATAAAATTCAATGTGTTGCCCCTGTTCTAGCGTTCAGAAGCTTTTAGGGACAAGTTGGAAGCAGACCACTTTGGCCTTTTACAACAGAAGACTTTGTCTTTTTGAATTCGCTTCTCGTCCGCTGGATCAATTCTGGTCCTCACA